ACTTCCAAGACAATTGATCGATGTCAATTGATCAATGCTGTAGGTCCTTGTCCTCCTCAAGTGCATATCTTTCGACATTTCTGCTGGTCGGAAGGGCTTATTCAACGCGGGGCTTACCACAAAAAGTGAGGGGAGCCACTTGCTCGACTACATTATGACTTCAACAGAAAAGTCCTTGAAGTCGGAGTGCAGCAAAGAAAGAGTATTTGCAAAACATGACAAGCAATTGAAACAAATGGACGGATGGAAGACATCGAATGGATTCAAAGCCACCGCTAAGTGTTAACAATGTGAATGAAAATCCAAAACTGTTCGAATGAAATGTCGGTCGATACGGTAGTGCAGTCAACAAGTCAGAGCCCGTTGTCAAGCACACCGACATCTCTCACCCTCAATCACTTCCTCACGTCTCTGTTCGTGAGCTAATCCTGACTCGCTTTCACAAGTCCTTGGAATTGAGTGGAGCCAGCAATAATGACAACGTCAGAGACAAGGTTTTGAAGGTGAATGTGGAACTCAATTTGAGCCAATTTCTCATCTTTCAAGTCGCTCCTTGATGCCAATAGGCGTCTTTGCTGATTTTGTGGGCATGCGACCACCCGCGTCTGTCGTACGGATGGAGGAGGAGCAGCAGCGGGTTTTGCGAGAAGGCCACGACGACGACGACGACCAACCGAGTCAACACAATGACGACCAGCAACAACAGCGACCCCAGTCGACCAGCGACGGTTTGTTTGTGCCTACATCGCCCACAATGCTGCCCATTTCGCAGCATGTTCCACCCCAAGCACCCCCGCTACCCACGACTAACTATCTTCGCACCAATTTTACAACTGGAAGTCGTCCAACATCCACGAGCTCTGCAAACCTCCAGATAAGCCGTGATCTGGGCAGGGATGACATCCGAACCAACTTCATCACCAATCGCCAGCATTCAAATCCGGTAGCAGCTTTCATGAAGTCCAATACGCTTGGCAATACCGAAAGCAGCACTTCGTTGTTTGCTCCAACTGACTACGACGACGTTGAGCCTACAACAATGCCTTTCATCTCCAGTACTGACTGTCGGGAGAAAAAGCGACCAGATCTGACTAAGAGCTATCGAGGCAACAGAAGCAATCTCAACGTATCGGCAAAGCACATGATCGTCGGAATCGTGGTCGGAGTCGCCCTTGGCATCGTATTCGCCCATGTCGGCGTGTCTGACATCGCGGCGCAGTGGATTTTGTTACCTGGTGACTTGTTCTTGCGAGCTGTTAACGCTCTCGTGGTGCCTTACGTGTTCTGCGCGGTGGCAGTGGCGGTAGGCGACATTGTGTTCATCGGCAAAGTCTCGATCATTGGATTGCAAACACTTAAGATTTTCGCGACGGGGTGGGTGGTTTCGACGGTCGTGGGCATCAGTTTGGCCTTGGTCTTTCGACCTCTGTTCCGTCTCCCGAACAAGTTTGTTAGTCCTCACACTAACACAGTGAGGCTAACTTGTTCGAGCGGACTCAAGCTGGAGATGCTGACCAACAAGAGCATTACCTGCTCTTCCAATGCCACGGAAATGTCACTGGAAAATGCTTTCGTACTGGGCAACGTGCATAACGTGTTCGAGACGAACAGCAACGTGGTGATCCCGGAGCTGACTTTCAGTAAGCATCTGATCTTGACTCTGGAGTCTATGGTGTCGAACAACGTCTTTGCCTCGTTGGCAGACGGCGATCTACTGGCAATCATCGTCTTCGGTATGGCGTTCGGCTCAATCGCAGGACGAAACTACTTTTCCAATACCCATCGTGTGAACTATTTGTACCTGGTGCTGATGCAGCTGCGCAACACTTTTCTCCTGGCCATGGAATGGCTCATCTGGACAACGCCTGTTACCGTCGTCTCCATCATCGCCGGAGCTTTTGCGTCCAACCAGGCCGCTGTGAGCAATTTGCCCAAAGTTTACATGTTTCTTGTGGCTTGCGCCTTAGCCACAACACTGCAGATTTGGATCGTATACCCGTTCATCGTGTTCCTCCTCGCTCGCTGTAATCCATACCCCCACATGCACCACATGATTCGCTCGTACCTCTTCGCTTTCAGCTCTTCCTCGTCGCTGGCTACTGCTCCTGTGACTCTCAGCTGCATCCAGAAAGCTCGAGTGTGCTCACAGTCAATCGCCACGTTCGTAGTTTCTGTCGGTGTCCTTACGAACATGTCGGGCTCTGGATGGTACTATCCAGTTGGCATCATTTTTTTGGCGGAGTCATCCGGCAATGGTGACGAAATTACTTTCTTGCGCCTTGTAGCGATCTTCTTCCTAACGATCGTAGCGTGCGTCAGCACACCACCAGTTCCAAACGGTAGCATGGTGGTTATGTCTACCATGTACAGAACTGTTTTTGGTGTGAACACATTGCCATCCACCTGGGCTCTCTATGTCGCATGTAGCTTTCTTGTAGACCGTCTATTGACCATCTGCAACGTCAATGACGATATTATGGCACTCAAGGTCATTGCCGAGAATACCGACGAAACGGTGGCAGACCATCAGCTTGGCCAGTGCAACTAGTACATTGTACATGCTGTTTGTTATAATTTTATACTGGGATAGCAGTCGTAGTGCTACTGATGTACAGCCCATATCATAATATCTCTTGATACAACTCACGCACCTTGTAAGCAATTGCCCATAGTAATACCACGAGAATGAAGATCCGAGATAGTTTTTGTTTGCGTGTCAAGCGCCTATGTGCTAAGGAACATCAGGAGGTTGTGAGATCGTAGCACACTTTTGGAAAGAAGTGATCGTTCAAAACGGAGTTTTTCAAGGTAAGACTGCTTTGCTTACTTTTTCATACTGAATCGTATGAGCTTATACGGATTCCAGGTGTTCTACTCTAGTCTCTTTGTTTGGATCGTAGCATGGTGTTTTTGGCTTGAGGTCCTGACAAGTGGAAACAGCTTTGAGTGGACGCTTGTATGTTTTGGTACTCGGAAGTCAAGACGGAGTGATGAAACGATCTAAAGTGAAGGTGTCCGAGGACATCGGTCTTACCAACATGATTGGGTTATGTGTCGCCTTGCAAAGACGTATGATATCCTGAATTGCGCTGTACAAAGCACAGCTTTGTCATTCCTGTAATCAATTCAGGACAAATACTGAAAACCCCAGCATACTTTCACAGACTGTGTTGACCGATTCCCATCACATTTTTGCCAAAAGGAGCAAAAGGTTGACACTCCGAGATCTGTATGGGACCTCAGCCAGACTTGTAAGTGCAAAAAACTTTGTGTTCTACCCGTCGGTGTATTTGGCGAACTCTAAGTACACAAAGATGCTGGGTTGAATAGTTGATTCCATGATGTGCTTATCTGTCCGTCATGACATCTTCCAAGGAAACGCTTTTTGGTCTCGATCGCGTCCGAGCTGTATACAGTCCTCGGCACTAAAACTTACACGGATCGACCCGCTACTTCTACACTACTAGTGTTTTTATCATCATGACTACCATGACCGTCCTTTGAAGCACACTCTGATTACCGTAGCGAGACTATCCCGCCGTCCAAATTAACAACACGCTTAATCTCAATGTACGTCAGTTAACAAGTCAAAACAACACAATCCATGAAGACGTCATACTTTTTTTGATTTGTGTGCTCTTGGTACATGGCTAAACCAAAAGTAAATTTGTTAATGACAGCAATAGATCGAAGGCGTGACGAGTTACAGATGTGGACGAGCCGGTGATCCACCAATACTTTATCACCTCCTTCATGTCGAATCGATGATCGGAATTCAAAACTAAAAGATGCCGTACAAGACCTTTTTGCTCCGATACTAAATAGTCGTCCAGCCGTCATCCATCAACTTCCAAGTTGCACGTCTTGATGTTCGCCATCATTTCGGTTGTCTGACCTTTTTTTCCTTCCGAGTGGTAACCACACAGCAAATTGTTCAAATTTCTAGCACAAGATGCACCCTTTTCATCGTCTCAAACACATTGATTCGTTCGACGATATTCGAGTGCTTCTCGACTTGTCGTAATGCCGTAATCTTGGATTGGAACCTACTGGGGTCTGTCAGAAACCTTTTATTTCCATGCTACCAATGGTTCTACAAATGCGTTGCAATAGTCACAACATACTACCTCTGTATCAATTATCGTACTACGATTTAACTTGAAGAGTTTAACAAGAACATACATATTACTACGCATTTATTCCGCCCTAAGTATTCCCTCTGTACATTGTAAAACGTCCCATTGACGATTGATTGTCTATTTTTGCAATGATCAGTAATGAACAGAGATTATGGGTACCATGTACCATATAAAATGTGCACAATATCTAGTATGGCTACATTTTGATTTGACGTCGACAATTGTGATAATGACCGTAGCACCCGAGAAAATGGAGTTGGAGCTGCCACTGGCACCACGATCGCTATGGGATTTTATCAGCATTTTGACACCTGTGATTAAATATTATGTGGCACTTTTGGTACTTTTCTTGGGAGCGCGTTGGTTTAATCAGCAGCTGAACAACGAGGCGACAGCACAAGAAAAAGAGACGGAGAGACCCATTTTGTCTCCAGAATTGACCATTGAAAGCTCTGAAGAAGAAGAGATTAAAGAGCTTATGACAGATGGAAATCGACTTGTTTCCTTGGACATGCAAAAGAGTCAAAAGACAAAGAATAGGACGAAGGAACTTTTTGATGGTCTTCGGAAAGTGGAACAAGAATTACGGGACAAAAAGGCCAAAGAAAACGACACGGATGATAGTGTGAGTTGGAATGAACTTCATTCTAGTATGTTACGACGTTACCAGGACAAATATCCAGACCACGGCCCACGGATGGCAAATGCTGAGACGGACAAGTACAATGAAGAATTTAACGAGTTACTACGAAAGAACAACATTGATCCGAATGAGCTCAAGAGTCAAAACATTAACAAGACAAAGTAGACAGAGAGAGGTACGTACTACCCATATCAATGTAGTGTATTCAAGTATTACGTCTAGAATCTAATCCGCTTGGTACCTGTCCGACTGCTTGTCTTGCTTATGGATTGTTTCTCGTCTTGACCGTCTTCTTCTTCTTCTTCCAGACTGAGCTGGAACGAGTCAAGGGCATCACCAGTATTGTCTCCATTGTTTTGATCCACAAAGTCCTCATCTTCGTCTGTGAACGTGGTCTTCTTGTTCTTTTTGGCACCACTATTGCTCATCATGTGTATCGAGATTGTATTGAATGTCACCAGAGATGAGGATTCCTCGTTAATGAGGAGGTCGAAGTCGCACTGCTGTACCGGAGTGAGGCCGCCGATATTGATGCAGATATTGCAGTGGAGAGCGACGTAAAGACCTCGATTATCAGTAATAGTGATACGCTTGCTAACAGATTTACCGAGACTATCGTGAGGAGGTCGAAGTAGAAAGTTCTTCTTCGGAGATTTATAAAGGTGTGATGGTGCATGCTAGTGCATACGGGGCCGGCCAACGGCTCCTCAACATCAACGAGTACGATCCTATGATATTTGTTGATGAAAGCTGCTACATTCGCTACAGCGGTTGATACGACCAAGGCCGCATCACAACATCAAAATAGTCCGACATTAACAAACTAGTCTTGGCAACAAGGATCACGGCATCTTTGGCTACCATGGAAATCGCTCTGCTACTATATGGTTCGTTTAAACAAACAGCGCTGAAACAACCGTGTACTGCGGCCTCCACTAGTAGCGAAGACCTAGGTCATAACCAGGCTGGAGCGGCTACTTCAGTATCAAACACCCTGTTAACGTGAACATTCTGTATCCAGTCTGGAATGTGTTCTTCTTGTGTGATACTTCCAGGGCACTATTTTTTGTAGCGGAGGCATGGTCTAGTAAAAATACGTTGGTCTGCATTGATTGTACTTCGCTAGCGGTTGTGGACTGATGTTGGGTCGCACTTCAACATTTTTTATCAGAACCAGGACGACAAGCGCTTGAATGGTGGGTTCTCAATCTCAGAGCGCGACTTACTTGGTTTCTTTCCCTCTTCATTTGATTCACTAGAGGTCTCTGCTAAAGCTGGGGGCGGTGTGGGCTGCACACCAGGATGAGTGTGACCGGAAACTTTATACTTGCACAACACGCACTCGACGACGCGTGAGGTTGTCACGATAGCCTTAGAAACAGCAGCATTGTCATTTGGATTTTCCCCCTGTACGAATGTACTTGCCGAGCTGGCGCAATATGCTTCGCCTTCACTCGGCTCTTCAGTAAGTGAAGCAAGTTTCGGTACCGCTGACCGGCGCTGTAATGTCTTGTTTCGTCCAAGACGACGAGACTGAACATCTGCGCCTTCCACGCCCGATTTACTTAGGGAAGCAGCCGCCACACGAGCCTGTTGCACGTGTTCGCGATACATTCCTTCTTTGCCTTCGTCAATACCGTCCAAAACAGCCACCGTAACACGGCGAGAAATCCCATACTTCTGCCGCTCCTTCGTTGGTTTCCTGACTCCACAGTCATCTTCATTCTTAATTGCAACCTCGTCTTGCTTCATCTGTACTACATCTGTTTGACTCTTCAATCCCATGTAGTTGTCGGAATTATTGCGGAAACCTTGCGAGAAAAGATACCGCAAGACGCGCTTCTGTACATTCGTCACGGGGCGCAATTTCAACGTGCTCTCAAATAGCAGCCCAGAAGTCGTACCATCCACACGAAATTCCCACAGGTTCTTCGTCTCATTGCTTTCGCACGTTTCCACTTCTTGTCTCTCAAGAAATTGGGGCTTGTGAGAGCAAAGACGTAGCCATGCGTGCAGCATCAAATCATAATCTTTTGGTTGTGCTTTATCCGGCAGCCCTGTATCCGTGCCAATATCTCCATCATCAGTTTTTAAAAGGCCGCTGAGGTTGCTAACACCATTACTGCTGAAGCTGCGACGAATAGACGAGTTATTCATGGACAAAGGAGTCGTCAACGACAATGAGTGGTTGGACCAGCCTCGTTTTGGCGGCCCAGTTAGCTCGAACACCAAGGGCGGATTTACAGGTTCGTAGTCGTGAGTGCACGTGGAGGCGTTCAAGTACGTGATCTTTCCATCAGAACTAACACTGCGTCCGTAACCTTCATGCACGTGTCCAAAGACGTGCAACTTGGGCCGCACTCGATTCTCCACTTCACGTAGTAGATCGGCACAACCAACGCGTTGAAAGCCTACAAGGTCTCCGTGGCCCATTGGGGGCGTGTGGGTCACGAGCACATCGGTGTCCGTTGGAATTAGTCTCCATTGACGCAGCAGAGCGTCACCACGAGGCAAATTGAATGCCCAATTGCAAAATTCTGGTTGCCATGGTGTACTGCAGCAGTCAGAAAAAAGCAGAAGCTTAGCAAGTGTCGTTTTAAACTTGTAAGTGTTACAATCATTTTACCCGTAAAAGAGGTAGCCCTCAATCAGAACCGCCTGATCCTCTAGATACAGTGCGTTTGTAAGTAAAGCACGCACTTCAGTTGGATCGTACTGTTGTTTATGGCCGTATTGGTGCCAGTATTCCGGGTAGAATTGACGGTCGAATGATGACTCGTGATTGCCAGCGATTACGAGCTTATACCGATGAGGTAATCGTCCTAGGAACTCATTGAACGCCAATACTTCACTACGTTTCCCTGTATCTGTGAAATCACCTGCATGAACGAAGATATCACCGGGTGGAATGGTCAGTGCATTCTCATGCAGTCCATGAGTATCCGAAACACACACGACCTTCATGGCTTATAGTCGTGATCGTGACGGTTTGACTGTTTATTAATTCTCACAGGCTACAGTGTATCCACATACTGAAACCAAGTGAAAAATACTACCGACCAACCAACACGAGGAGCTCAGTTAGTATTGTACATTATGGTGGAGGAAATCGTGTCTGAAGAACGCAAGCTGATTCTACGGAACCGACGCGAACTGCGTAAAGCCAAGAAAGCTAAAGCAAAGCAGTTTAAGCTCGAGAAACAGCAGGCCAAACGTGAAAAAAGAGCAGAGATTGTGGCTAAAATACGTGCCAAACGGGAGGAGGCGCAGTTCGCTAGCAACAGTAACGACAGCGGCTGTTGGTTATGTGGTGAGATAACGCATCGCAAGCAGGACTGCCCCAACCGTGCGGCTGGAGACCTCAATAAGACGTGCTTTCAGTGTCGCCGACGTGGCCATACGTCGCATAATTGTCCGCAGAACAACAATGGCGGCGGCTTCGGTCAGCAGCAGCAGCAAGCAGCCGTATGCTTTAACTGCGGTGCAGACGACCACAGTCTCCGTGACTGCTCTAAGCCCAAGGAGAATGGCGGTGCTGCTTATGCCACGTGCTTTGTGTGTGGCCAGCAAGGTCATCTCAGCAGCAAGTGTCTCAAGAATACTATGGGCGTCTACCCCAAAGGCGGTTGCTGCAAACTCTGTAAGAGTATTGAACACTTGGCGCGCGACTGTCCGGTTGGAAACATCTCAACGGATGGTACCAGTGGTGCCAAAAAGAACAAGAAGACCACGTTCACAGACGAAGATGAGGACTTTGTGGATCAAAACAATGGAGACAATACTGGTGATGCCCTTGACTCGTTCCAGCTCAGTCTGGAAGAAGAAGAAGAAGACGGTCAAGACGAGAAACAATCCATAAGCAAGACAAGCAGTCGGACAGGTACCAAGCGGATTAGATTCTAGACGTAATACTTGAATACACTACATTGATATGGGTAGTACGTACCTCTCTCTGTCTACTTTGTCTTGTTAATGTTTTGACTCTTGAGCTCATTCGGATCAATGTTGTTCTTTCGTAGTAACTCGTTAAATTCTTCATTGTACTTGTCCGTCTCAGCATTTGCCATCCGTGGGCCGTGGTCTGGATATTTGTCCTGGTAACGTCGTAACATACTAGAATGAAGTTCATTCCAACTCACACTATCATCCGTGTCGTTTTCTTTGGCCTTTTTGTCCCGTAATTCTTGTTCCACTTTCCGAAGACCATCAAAAAGTTCCTTCGTCCTATTCTTTGTCTTTTGACTCTTTTGCATGTCCAAGGAAACAAGTCGATTTCCATCTGTCATAAGCTCTTTAATCTCTTCTTCTTCAGAGCTTTCAATGGTCAATTCTGGAGACAAAATGGGTCTCTCCGTCTCTTTTTCTTGTGCTGTCGCCTCGTTGTTCAGCTGCTGATTAAACCAACGCGCTCCCAAGAAAAGTACCAAAAGTGCCACATAATATTTAATCACAGGTGTCAAAATGCTGATAAAATCCCATAGCGATCGTGGTGCCAGTGGCAGCTCCAACTCCATTTTCTCGGGTGCTACGGTCATTATCACAATTGTCGACGTCAAATCAAAATGTAGCCATACTAGATATTGTGCACATTTTATATGGTACATGGTACCCATAATCTCTGTTCATTACTGATCATTGCAAAAATAGACAATCAATCGTCAATGGGACGTTTTACAATGTACAGAGGGAATACTTAGGGCGGAATAAATGCGTAGTAATATCTATGTTCTTGTTAAACTCTTCAAGTTAAATCGTAGTACGATAATTGATACAGAGGTAGTATGTTGTGACTATTGCAACGCATTTGTAGAACCATTGGTAGCATGGAAATAAAAGGTTTCTGACAGACCCCAGTAGGTTCCAATCCAAGATTACGGCATTACGACAAGTCGAGAAGCACTCGAATATCGTCGAACGAATCAATGTGTTTGAGACGATGAAAAGGGTGCATCTTGTGCTAGAAATTTGAACAATTTGCTGTGTGGTTACCACTCGGAAGGAAAAAAGGTCAGACAACCGAAATGATGGCGAACATCAAGACGTGCAACTTGGAAGTTGATGGATGACGGCTGGACGACTATTTAGTATCGGAGCAAAAAGGTCTTGTACGGCATCTTTTAGTTTTGAATTCCGATCATCGATTCGACATGAAGGAGGTGATAAAGTATTGGTGGATCACCGGCTCGTCCACATCTGTAACTCGTCACGCCTTCGATCTATTGCTGTCATTAACAAATTTACTTTTGGTTTAGCCATGTACCAAGAGCACACAAATCAAAAAAAGTATGACGTCTTCATGGATTGTGTTGTTTTGACTTGTTAACTGACGTACATTGAGATTAAGCGTGTTGTTAATTTGGACGGCGGGATAGTCTCGCTACGGTAATCAGAGTGTGCTTCAAAGGACGGTCATGGTAGTCATGATGATAAAAACACTAGTAGTGTAGAAGTAGCGGGTCGATCCGTGTAAGTTTTAGTGCCGAGGACTGTATACAGCTCGGACGCGATCGAGACCAAAAAGCGTTTCCTTGGAAGATGTCATGACGGACAGATAAGCACATCATGGAATCAACTATTCAACCCAGCATCTTTGTGTACTTAGAGTTCGCCAAATACACCGACGGGTAGAACACAAAGTTTTTTGCACTTACAAGTCTGGCTGAGGTCCCATACAGATCTCGGAGTGTCAACCTTTTGCTCCTTTTGGCAAAAATGTGATGGGAATCGGTCAACAAAGTCTGTGTGAAAGTATGCTGGGGTTTTCAGTATTTGTCCTGAATTGATTACAGGAATGACAAAGCTGTGCTTTGTACAGCGCAATTCAGGATATCATACGTCTTTGCAAGGCGACACATAACCCAATCATGTTGGTAAGACCGATGTCCTCGGACACCTTCACTTTAGATCGTTTCATCACTCCGTCTTGACTTCCGAGTACCAAAACATACAAGCGTCCACTCAAAGCTGTTTCCACTTGTCAGGACCTCAAGCCAAAAACACCATGCTACGATCCAAACAAAGAGACTAGAGTAGAACACCTGGAATCCGTATAAGCTCATACGATTCAGTATGAAAAAGTAAGCAAAGCAGTCTTACCTTGAAAAACTCCGTTTTGAACGATCACTTCTTTCCAAAAGTGTGCTACGATCTCACAACCTCCTGATGTTCCTTAGCACATAGGCGCTTGACACGCAAACAAAAACTATCTCGGATCTTCATTCTCGTGGTATTACTATGGGCAATTGCTTACAAGGTGCGTGAGTTGTATCAAGAGATATTATGATATGGGCTGTACATCAGTAGCACTACGACTGCTATCCCAGTATAAAATTATAACAAACAGCATGTACAATGTACTAGTTGCACTGGCCAAGCTGATGGTCTGCCACCGTTTCGTCGGTATTCTCGGCAATGACCTTGAGTGCCATAATATCGTCATTGACGTTGCAGATGGTCAATAGACGGTCTACAAGAAAGCTACATGCGACATAGAGAGCCCAGGTGGATGGCAATGTGTTCACACCAAAAACAGTTCTGTACATGGTAGACATAACCACCATGCTACCGTTTGGAACTGGTGGTGTGCTGACGCACGCTACGATCGTTAGGAAGAAGATCGCTACAAGGCGCAAGAAAGTAATTTCGTCACCATTGCCGGATGACTCCGCCAAAAAAATGATGCCAACTGGATAGTACCATCCAGAGCCCGACATGTTCGTAAGGACACCGACAGAAACTACGAACGTGGCGATTGACTGTGAGCACACTCGAGCTTTCTGGATGCAGCTGAGAGTCACAGGAGCAGTAGCCAGCGACGAGGAAGAGCTGAAAGCGAAGAGGTACGAGCGAATCATGTGGTGCATGTGGGGGTATGGATTACAGCGAGCGAGGAGGAACACGATGAACGGGTATACGATCCAAATCTGCAGTGTTGTGGCTAAGGCGCAAGCCACAAGAAACATGTAAACTTTGGGCAAATTGCTCACAGCGGCCTGGTTGGACGCAAAAGCTCCGGCGATGATGGAGACGACGGCAACAGGCGTTGTCCAGATGAGCCATTCCATGGCCAGGAGAAAAGTGTTGCGCAGCTGCATCAGCACCAGGTACAAATAGTTCACACGATGGGTATTGGAAAAGTAGTTTCGTCCTGCGATTGAGCCGAACGCCATACCGAAGACGATGATTGCCAGTAGATCGCCGTCTGCCAACGAGGCAAAGACGTTGTTCGACACCATAGACTCCAGAGTCAAGATCAGATGCTTACTGAAAGTCAGCTCCGGGATCACCACGTTGCTGTTCGTCTCGAACACGTTATGCACGTTGCCCAGTACGAAAGCATTTTCCAGTGACATTTCCGTGGCATTGGAAGAGCAGGTAATGCTCTTGTTGGTCAGCATCTCCAGCTTGAGTCCGCTCGAACAAGTTAGCCTCACTGTGTTAGTGTGAGGACTAACAAACTTGTTCGGGAGACGGAACAGAGGTCGAAAGACCAAGGCCAAACTGATGCCCACGACCGTCGAAACCACCCACCCCGTCGCGAAAATCTTAAGTGTTTGCAATCCAATGATCGAGACTTTGCCGATGAACACAATGTCGCCTACCGCCACTGCCACCGCGCAGAACACGTAAGGCACCACGAGAGCGTTAACAGCTCGCAAGAACAAGTCACCAGGTAACAAAATCCACTGCGCCGCGATGTCAGACACGCCGACATGGGCGAATACGATGCCAAGGGCGACTCCGACCACGATTCCGACGATCATGTGCTTTGCCGATACGTTGAGATTGCTTCTGTTGCCTAGATAGCTCTTAGTCAGATCTGGTCGCTTTTTCTCCCGACAGTCAGTACTGGAGATGAAAGGCATTGTTGTAGGCTCAACGTCGTCGTAGTCAGTTGGAGCAAACAACGAAGTGCTGCTTTCGGTATTGCCAAGCGTATTGGACTTCATGAAAGCTGCTACCGGATTTGAATGCTGGCGATTGGTGATGAAGTTGGTTCGGATGTCATCCCTGCCCAGATCACGGCTTATCTGGAGGTTTGCAGAGCTCGTGGATGTTGGACGACTTCCAGTTGTAAAATTGGTGCGAAGATAGTTAGTCGTGGGTAGCGGGGGTGCTTGGGGTGGAACATGCTGCGAAATGGGCAGCATTGTGGGCGATGTAGGCACAAACAAACCGTCGCTGGTCGACTGGGGTCGCGGTTGTTGCTGGTCGTCATTGTGTTGACTCGGTTGGTCGTCGTCGTCGTCGTGGCCTTCTCGCAAAACCCGCTGCTGCTCCTCCTCCATCCGTACGACAGACGCGGGTGGTCGCATGCCCACAAAATCAGCAAAGACGCCTATTGGCATCAAGGAGCGACTTGAAAGATGAGAAATTGGCTCAAATTGAGTTCCACATTCACCTTCAAAACCTTGTCTCTGACGTTGTCATTATTGCTGGCTCCACTCAATTCCAAGGACTTGTGAAAGCGAGTCAGGATTAGCTCACGAACAGAGACGTGAGGAAGTGATTGAGGGTGAGAGATGTCGGTATGCTTGACAACGGGCTCTGACTTGTTGACTGCACTACCGTATCGACCGACATTTCATTCGAACAGTTTTGGATTTTCATTCACATTGTTAACACTTAGCGGTGGCTTTGAATCCATTCGATGTCTTCCATCCGTCCATTTGTTTCAATTGCTTGTCATGTTTTGCAAATACTCTTTCTTTGCTGCACTCCGACTTCAAGGACTTTTCTGTTGAAGTCATAATGTAGTCGAGCAAGTGGCTCCCCTCACTTTTTGTGGTAAGCCCCGCGTTGAATAAGCCCTTCCGACCAGCAGAAATGTCGAAAGAGGGAGAACAAGGACCTACAGCATTGATCAATTGACATCGATCAATTGTCTTGGAAGTACAATGTGATTGTACTCAATGCTGCATCCATTCCTACAGCGCACTCTGAATTGACATTGATAGGCGAAGTCTGTCGGTGACGCTGCAAGTAATGTCATATGTCTCGCTTCGTGTGGACAGGTGGCTGATGGCAGCGTAAAAGAAGCGTCAAAGACGTCGCATACCTACAAACTCGAAACCGTTCGTTTCGACCTGTCCACTCTTTGGTATGATCGTGTGTCGGCCAATCTACACGTGACTGCGTGTGTGCAATGTCATATTGCATTCTCCTACTCAAGACGCGACCATGGGCCTGAACATCACGAATATGCTGCTGCAGAAGACGCGGTGGGTGGCGTCCAAGTTGTCGCTGCGGAGGTGGCAGTTCAAGAAGCGGTCGAGCATGGAGGCCACACAACTACGGCCAATTGCGCTGGCCGGTGCCAGTAGATGCTTTACAGGTTCTTCCACGCAGTGCAATCATTTTTCTCGGACGCCTTCAGGTGCGCAGTACGAGCAGGGGAAATACAGTTCAGGTGGAGGAGACTCCAGTGTCGTGGACAGCAGGTGAAAGATCTGCCGAATGTGCGAGCGCAAGTTCTCACCCTTGAGTATGAGTCGACAGTATCAGAGCTTTTGTTCATTGGATTGCAAGTCAGCCTTTATGCTCGGTCATGATGAGACTGCATAGCTTGCAAGAAGTCTACAGGACCTAATAGTCGATTGCTGGTTTTGAAATGTAGACACTGTTGACATGATCGTCTCGGTCCTTGGGTCAATGGAATCCCAGTAGGCAGCGAGCGTGGTCAAGTTGACAAATTCGATGGAGGCGTATTGTCACGAGCAAAAGAAGAGAAGAGTTGACAGCGCACCGAATGGAAACTGAACGAAAGATAAAGAGGTCAACTCAGATCCATGATTTCGGTGGAACTCAAAGAGAAGCTCAAGAACCCTTAAGCGTCAAGTGGTTGTCTACCCGACGGAGGTATGCACGTGCAAGCGCAAAGAGGATCTGCTGGTTTTCAGAGCAAGACAGAGTTGACGGCAGTGACCCCGTTCCATGTCGTCGTCTTCCAGCTTCCGTGCCATGTCATGAATTGACATTTTTCTTTGTCCATTCTGAAGACTCAAATCACTATCACACTTACTAGTTTCATGTTCAAAGAGTTCGTTCGACACCATGACGGAAGAAGTCAAGGAGTTGCTTAACAGACAAAAAATGTAGCCATCTCTTCCATCCATCACGTTTTAATGCCAGAATCCAGACCATGTCATCGACTACTACCGACAAAGGAACGGGTGCTCATTTTGAGCGCTTGGCATCGAAATACCAAGTGACGTTTGCGCGTTTTCTACGTCGTCACTATCGCTCTGAGCTGCAGCAATTGTATCAACGTCTGTGTCTTGTGTCAAAGCCCTTGACTGCTCTGAATTCATCGCCAGAGTCGAATCTCTTTGTCTATAGTCAACGCGTATGTGCACAGCGTCTGCTCGACTTCAATGTCCAGCTCGGAACGCTTTTGTTCCGTCACCCTGAACAGCTTCTACCTCTGTTTCATATGGCACTAGCCAACGAGGTCAGTCGCAATGCTAGTGACAAACCACTGGACGGTGACGGCCTGCCATCCATTCCACTTAAACTTAGACGCAAACTCAAGGTGCGGGTTGAGAATTTGCCCCCCGTAGCACCACTTCGAAAGCACGCTATCAGTGCAATCAGGTCCAACGATGTAAAGCAGCTCATTCAGATTGCAGGCACGGTGGTACGCACAGGAGTGGTGCGTTGAGTGTGGAACTTGCATCAGCTCTAGGGGTCTCGCTGACTATCTACTGTGCAGATTAAGATGCAGGAGACGGAGAGAGAGTACCAGTGCTGCAATGTGCGGTGTGGACACCGGTTCTTGGTCAAGTCGGACCCAGAGCAGGGCAACGTGCTGGAGATTCCAGTAAGAAAATGAGATGCTGTTCCTCGAAGAAGCGATGGGCTGACTGTCTCTTGTGTGCTCTTTGCTTGACTGCAGAAAGTTTGTCCGTCGGATAGTACTGGAGACACGAGCAGTGGCGGTAAGAAGCCATGCAAGTCGATGCAGTTCATGCCTCTTGGTGGAGCTGAGGGCAGTGTGGTATCGGACCACCAGGTGATTAAGATCCAGGAGCAGGCATCCAAGTTAGGCGTTGGCTCCATTCCAAGGTCGATGCTGGTTGTACTGGAGGACGATCTGGTAGACTCCGTGAAGGCTGGAGATCAGGTCGTGGTGGTGGGCATCCTAATGCGCACATGGAAACCTTGTGTGAGAGGAGTACGCTGCGACCTGGAGACGACAATCAAAGCTAACAGCATTCGCATTAAGAATGCGTCGACATCGCATGTCCTCGTTACTGAAGAGTTGCGAGCAGAGTTTGCACACTTTTGGGCAAAACACCGACAACATCCAGTGCGAGGACGCAACGAAATCGTCGCAAGCATTTGTCCGAAAGTTTACGGGCTGTTTATTGTTAAACTTGCGGTGGCGCTTACAGTGATCGGCGGAGTCTCGTACGTCGATGACACTGGCATGAAGACGCGTGGCGAACCACACATGCTCTTGGTCGGCGATCCTGGTACAGGGAAATCTCAGTTTCTCCGTTTTACGGCCGAGCTCAGCCCCCGCTCGGTTCTTACAACGGGTATTGGCACGACAAGCGCTGGGCTGACCTGTACAGCAGTCAAGGATGGCGGCGAGTGGATGCTGGAAGCTGGTGCCTTGGTGTTAGCAGATCGCGGCGTGTGTTGCATCGACGAGTTTAGTAGCATTCGCAATAACGATCGTACGTCGATCCATGAAGCCATGGAGCAGCAGACACTGAGCGTGGCAAAGGCTGGTCTAGTGTGCAAATTGAATGCACGAACCACAATCTTTGCCGTGACGAACCCAAAGGGCCGATATGACCCGACGAAAGACGTGTCTCTAAACACGAGCATCGCTAGCCCTTTACTTAGTCGGTTTGACCTCATTCTCGTGCTGCTGGATCGCATGAACCCGCGTTGGGACAATGTCGTCTCCTCTTTCATCCTCAAACAGGCCGTTGGGACGAATACCAGTGTAAAAGAAGAAGCTGAATACCATGAGAACGAGTCAGCGTTCAAGTCAGTGGATAGACAAGAGCCACGATCGTCGGCACCGGAGGAAGGTCCATCGGTGTGGAGTATCCAAACACTGCAAGCATATATCTGTTACGTAAAGGATAAGTATGAGCCCCAACTGAGTCGTGCGGCAATGACAATACTCCAGCGTTATTACCAGCGACAGCGGGCATCTGATAGTCGTAGTGCAGCTCGCACAACAATTCGACTTCTGGAGAGCCTCACGAGACTCGCACAGGCCCATGCAAGACTGATGTGCCACTCCGAAGTAGCTGTCATGGATGCCGTCGTTGCCGTCTTTGTCATGGAAGTGAGCAAGTCCACAGATAATTGCTCCGATATGCTGGAGGGAGGCGTCGAGTCGGTCTTGCACTCTAACTTTTCTGAAAATCCACAGGAAGAGTATCTGCTCCAAGAAAAACTTGTTCTGGACTATCTGATGCTGCAAGAATTTAGCACAGCAGACGATAGCCAATCCGACTTCGCAGCGTCCGAACCACCTACCAGTTCACAGAACCATCCATTGCAACAACAACCCGATCCCGTTACTAGGTACCCTCTCGCCACCGACAAATATCAAAAGGCTGACGTCAAAGACGAATTTGCTGGTGATGTGTGTTTTCCCGGGAATAAAGAACAACAAGTGCCCGTCGCAAGCAGACCATGGTATGGAAACCAACAGCAGAATGGAGGTACCCATTCTGACCGAAAACAACGGCACGAGAGTTCTTCATTGCAAAGTGTTCCGTGGAGTCAGCGACAGCACTCACTCACTCCGGCGCCAATTTCTCAAAGCAAAGTCAATGGTGACGAAGACTTGGATATCATGGACGACTATCGTCGTGGTCTGTGCAGTCAAAACCGAAAAGAGGACTCTGACGCGCCGTCGGAGACGCGTTTTGATTTTGGTCGCTGGAGTCAACAAGCCAAGGCAAGTCATGAGTCGATTATCAGCAAGTGGAAAAAGTAAACTATCGAACAAATGAAACCTAGACATGCTGGTTCATTTATGAGCTTCCTCCACACGTTACACGTGCATCAACGAGTACAGCAAATGCACGTTTTTCCGACTCTCAAAGTCCTGAATGACGTCGATAATGTCATCGTCGAGACCATTCAGCACATTGATCTACAACAACAACAACAACAACAACAACAACAACACACAACAACATCAATCACCTTGTCAGTCTACCAATCTCGCTTGAAGGTAGCACAAAAACCTACCGCTTGACACAATTCCAAAGCCAATGATCCGCCCACTTTGGCATGTTCTGGTGTGTCTTTTGTGTCGAGACAGAGCAAATGAAGTGGTCTCCAGACCATCGTCGGTTCATTTCCAGGTCCATCAGGGCCTCCGGCCGCTCCTCGTAGTTGAAGATCTTCTAATACAATTTCAAAGATTCGATCATCAAAGCACAAGACGACATCCAATTCCTGTAACTCCTTTACACTGAGATCCTGCCATCGTTGTGGACACTTTTTGGTCAACATATCTCGTTCCAGCATAGCCAGCACCCCATTTCGCTTAAACCTGCAAGTATAGTACCATCATTTGTCATTTTATGAGTCTCCATTGTCGTCTATAAATAAGAAAATTACAAATCTAGCCATGATGAAAAATAGCATACAGCTCGGCGTTTTCACCCTTCAGCTCCCGGTACATTGTCTCATACGGTGTAAAAAACTCATAAATACGTGGATCATCACGTGATGGACCAGGAAAGCGGACGCGGTTGCCAGCCCCAAAGGAACAAACACGCAGTCCTGCAGCGTGTAGATGGTCATGTGCCTCGGTACTTCGATTTACATTGTTAGCGCATAGCATGGCGAACATGGGGCGTGTCGTCCCCATTGTAGTAGTCATACAGTCTAGTAATATACCTCAATACTTTTGAAAATAGTAATATTGGAAAAGGAAAAACCAGTACTATCTGTAGCCGGAATATCTGATTCGATGGCTTATCAAATGACGTACTTAAAACGATCTGGTACTTGGTTTTTGTCATACTCTTTGACAATGTCAACATTGCAATCCATCAATTGTACGCCCAATGGTGGTAGTAATCCAGTAGTCTACTTAATAGGCAGTACGTCGGAAATAAGGAATGAAATGCAGCATCTTCACTTCACTAGACGATCAACTTGATTACTATTCAAACGCAGATCTGTTGTGATATGTTCCTCCCAAGTTGAAGTCGTTGGAACATTTCATGTCCGCTTACACATTTCACGTCCGTTTACCGATTCCGATGGTGAAACGTGGAAACAATGGAGAAGGGAAACGGCGGAGATCAGAATGGGACGAGTCGACAACTGGACGAGTCGACAAATGTTGGTGACAAGGCGGCGGCTCGCAGGTTAGCTGCAGCCGCATACATGCAAGCTCGAAAGCTCAGTCAGAAAAGTGCAAAGTGCAAGGCAAGTCGTCAGTAGCCAGAAAGTGCTAAGCGAAGTAATATATATCTTTGAGTGTCAAGAGATATATCTATATATCTAGCATAGCTGGACGCTAGAGAGACTGCAATAAAGCGAGATTGCAACAGGGTTATGAGCCCAAGCCTGAGCAAGGCTTAAGCATAACCAAGAAACGGCGACGCATTTACGGGCTAAGGCTGTAAGTGTTTGAGTGCGAAGAAAGACTCCGTTTGTCAGGAAGGACAAACGTAAACTTATTTAAAGCTGGCACAACATGTCAAACAAGGTAGAGCTGAACAAATATGGACGACCCGTAGGATGGCATGGGCAATCCTGGGCGTACTACAAAGGGATGATGAAACTGACCTTTGAGGAAAAGGATGTGCTGGATTATGCTACGGGAAACAAGATTCTCGTAGGTAACGCAAGTGCAAACGAAGTGAAAGCGTTTCGAGAGGCACAAGTAACAATCAAGCAGCTTATTCTTGCTTCCCTATCAATGGAGTTGGGGCAGCGTGTGATGACGAAAGCAACTGGCACCGAGATGTGGAAATACTTGGAAGACTTCTACGAGGGAAAGACTAATGCTACAACAAGTTAAACGCGATGAAGTGCAAACCTAATTGGGACGTTGCGCAGCACGTGGAAAACATGTTCATGATTAAAGATCAATTGGTCGATGTGAACGCAGGTATTCGGGACCCGATCTTTACGCAGATGTTAATTCGATCGTTGCCGGCGAATGCGCGCTTTGATCGTCTGAGATGCATGGTTGAAAGCGGGGACGACAAGGTGGACACTTCGGAAAAATTGAAAGATCAGATTTTGCGAATGGATAGTTTTAACAAGTGTGATCGGGAGCTTGGTGCCCATGGTGTCATTGGAAATGTGCAGGACAATGGAGGCAGTCAAACATCCAAGAACCGGCAAAACGCTAGCTGTGCAAGATCACATATCGGAACCAGAAAGTTAATAGCTGCCGACAAAGTACTCCAAAGCACGACTTCACAGGCGGATAAGCAGCATGGAAACTGCTTTAATTGTCATAAGCCTGGACACCGCATGAGAGACTGTCCTATAATGAAGAAACCAAAAACGAGTGATTATCAGGTGGCATTTGCACAGCATTCGAAGAATGAGCTTGCGGATGGATGTCAAGAAAAGCCGGATGAACTGATGGTGATGGCAAAGAACAAGCTGTCAACGAGGGAAAATACTCCAGACAGAAAATGCACACAACAACAATGGTGTCTTGACAATGCATCGAATGTACATGTGGCTTCTGATTTACGATACTTTATTGATTATAGCGCATTTGATAACAATGCACAAGCTCAATGTATCCGAGGATTTCAGAAGCACTTTAAAACAAAGCCGATTGGCCAGGGAACCGTTCAGATACTTGTTCAAAACGGATCAAGCAGCAACATGATAACACTTTATGACGTATTATACGTACCTGACTGTATGAATTTAATTTCTCACACACAAGTCGAGGACCAAGGACATACTGTGAAGTACTGCATCCGAGAGGGAGAAAGATTCTACGAGCTTTGGCAGCATAATCGGAAGCTGCTGAACATCAAAAGAGATGACTGTGGTCTTTTCACATTTAATGCCATCAATGATTTTCTATCACAAACGAGTGACAGGGGTGAACTGCTGATCACAGATAAGTGCTTCCGTCCTCAGGTAAATCATACGCGCGCACAAGGGCACGCTGATATCCAACGGTGGCACGAAAGGCTGGGCCATCTTAATCCACAGTACGTGAAGCTCCTGGCAGATCGCAAGCTAGTAGACGGAATGTCACTAAGCCCAAAACAATTTATTGATTGCGAAGCATGCTACTGGTAAAGACCGACAACGTACACGTCATAAGCATTTGATGCGTGATATAACGACGAAGAATCAAGTAATATTTGTCGATTTACTTTTTCCGAAGTACAGCTCAAGCCCAAGAGCGTATAAGGCGGTACTTGTTGTAGTAGATGGATACTCCCGGTATACTACGGTGTACCCACTTTACTCAAAGAACGCATCGGAAGTAAATACAGCCATCAAACGATACATTTCCTGGGCAGAGCGTCAATTTCCCGCAAATAAGGTCAAGCAAGTGATATCTGACGGCGGAGGGGAATTTGTAAATGGGGAGATTAACCTTTGGTACAGGAATGTTGGCATTAAGTTCTTACCAAACCCACCTCATGGATCACACTTGAACCTGTGTGAGAGAGCACACCAAACCCTAATTCACATGATGAAGGCAATGATGGCGTCCGCAAAGCTACCAAAATCGTTTTGGATGCACGCGCTTGAGATGGCGACGTACCTGAGAAATAGGGCATACTGTCGGTCAATCAAAGAGACTCCATACAGAATGATGATGAACAAGAAGCCAAACCTACATGGTATAAAGAAGTTTGGATCTCTCGCTTATGTCCATCAAGCGAACAACCCATCTCGGAAGAAACTAGATGATAACTGCAGAATTGGTTTTTTTTGGGGTACCTGGAAGGACAAGCAGGATTTAAAGCTTATTTTCCAGCAGATGAAGTGGTTCAACACGTTTTGGATGCTTCGATCAATGAGGATATAATATACGGTGACCGATATCACGAAGGATATGCTGTCGCCGTATCAGATTGGTTGTCACGTACAAGTACGGATGATGAAAATGGAGCGAGTATGGAAGTCGACAGCAATGACGAAAGTATTGCGTCGGATGAAGACAGCATGGAAGTCGACAGCAATGGCGACAGTATTGAGCCGGATGATGACAGTATTGCGTCGGATCGTGAATCGATCCCGATTGACTATGAGAGCGAGTCATCAGCAATCGAGTCATCAGCAATCGAGTCATCACCAAAGTTTGAATTAGTTGATGTGGATTCAGTGGAGACCAAAATTGATATTCCTGTAATTCGGGATTCACTCGATCTGAGTACTCAGAGCCCTATGTGTGCCAATGCCAGTGATGATGCAATTCAAGAACATCATACAAGCAAACCCTCTAGCTTGGAAAGTGAAACGACCCACGATACCGAAACAGATGTTGACAGTCAATCAGCTGCCGAAAATTGCGACAAGGTGAGTTGTGACTATCGGTCAGAGACATCCGACACTAGTAATAGCGAGGATGAGGATGAAAATGTACATGCAGATACGGAACTACCTACCACATCCAAGGATACAGTACATTCACGCGAGGGTGCGACGACGAGTGAGTCCAGCACTGACCTGATGGATATGTGTATGATTCCTGAAATAATTACTGGAGAACGTAGGAAAGTTTTGGATGCGGAGATAGAGGATGTCCAAGAGATAAAACGACGGCGCGATAACAAAGGAAGGCCACAGTGTTGCAATCTCGCTTTATTGCAGTCTCTCTAGCGTCCAGCTATGCTAGATATATAGATATATTTCTTGACACTCAAAGATATATATTACTTCGCTTAGCACTTTCTGGCTACTGACGACTTGCCTTGCACTTTGCACTTTTCTGACTGAGCTTTCGAGCTTGCATGTATGCGGCTGCAGCTAACCTGCGAGCCGCCGCCTTGTCACCAACATTTGTCGACTCGTCCAGTTGTCGACTCGTCCCATTCTGATCTCCGCCGTTTCCCTTCTCCATTGTTTCCACGTTTCACCATCGGAATCGGTAAACGGACGTGAAATGTGTAAACGGACATGAAATGTTCCAACGACTTCAACTTGGGAGGAACATATCACAACACGCCCCCTCCGACGCTTGTGTCGGAACATCTTTGCTCTTGTGAAATCCTCATGCCAATGTCGGCTCGATACTTCGCTAGGCTGCGCTTCGGTAGAGCCTTTGTGAACATATCAGCAGGATTCTCTGTTCCGGACACTTTCTTTACCAAAATATGCCCAGCCTTAATTTGTTCGCGCACATTATGCCATCTTAGCTCAATGTGTCTTGTTTTGCTGCTATGTGTGGGTTTCCATGCCAACGAAATAGCTGCCGCATTGTCAATGCCCATCGTTAGTACAGCATGTGCCTGTATACAGTGTGAAATCTCATTGAGTATATTTGCAATTCCGCGACCCTCCATGGATGCTTCGCATGCTGCCACATATTCGGCTTCTGCGGTTGATTGTGCGACTATTGTTTGACGTCTGGCAGCCCATGCGACAGCTCCAGATTCCATTATAAGCACAAATCCGGTAACACTTTTTCTTGAGTCGGGATCGTTGCCCCAATCAGCATCACAATATCCAGTAATGACAACATCTTCGTTTGCTCCCATATCTCGTGTGTATCTTATGCCGGTTTGTAGTGTACCAGATAGGTATCGCAATACTCGCTTGACGGCTCCGCAGTGTTTTCGCGATGGGTTGCTCACAAAACGGCTCAAGTAGCCCACAGCATACGCAATATCTGGCCTTGTAGTAGTCGCCAAGTACATCAACGAT